GAGTAACTGGTGAGCTTGAACCACCAACCTTGCAGTTCAAACAGATTTGGAGTCTGGCGCATTAACCCACAGCACCACACCAGGACATTAGTGAACTAAAATGGACAGGATTGGCCACTTTGAATCTAACAATCATGGTTTACCATAGGAATAACCAATTGAAGAGGAATGGCATTACATTCATTGACAAAAGGAGCATTTCAAAATCTATCCTGAAGTACAATGCTGTCTATGATATGGTAACATCTATATGCCTACAAGGAAAACCTGGTGTGGCACCATGAGATAATGCAGTTTGAGCCACAAGGTCAGTGGTTCAAACCCACCAGTCACTCCTCAAAAACCCTATACATGGTTGCTATGAGTCTGAAATGACTCAATGGCACTTAACAACAATAAAAAGGAAACTCAATTAATATCACTATTGTTCATATTTACACACCAACCTCTAAAGCCAATGATGAAGAAACTGAAGAATTTTATCAACTTCATCAGTTTGCAAATGATCAAACATGTTATCAAGAAGCTCTGATCATTATTAACGATTAGAATGTAAAAGTTAGAAACAAAGAGAAAAGACTGATAGTTGGAAAATATGGCATTGGTGACAGAAATGATAGAGATGGCATGACAGAATTTTGCAAGACTAACAATGACTTAGTCATTACAAATACCTTTTTTCAACAACAAAAATGGCCACTATACATGTGGGTCTTACGAGACGGAATACATAGGAATCAAATTGACTACATTTGCAGAACGCAGAAAGTGACAGTAGAGAAAATCAGTATCAGTCAAAACAAAGACAACTGTAGACAAGACCATCAACTGCTCATATGTTTTCAAATTAATCTTCTTCTTCGGGTTCAACATCCAATACAGTATCATACATTGCATGTAGTTGTCGTATCTGTGTAGTTTTCTCTCATCTGTGTATCTGATAGTTCCTCAGTCAGTTAGTGCCGTAGTCTTTCCTTATCTTTTTATGACTCTGAACATTTTAAAAGTACTAGTTATTATGTATAATGTCCCTTAGTTTAAGTTCATCTGGTGTTTACTTATAATTAGACTAAAGTTATACATTATTAAAAACAAACTCATAATAATTTTGTCTTAAATCTTTTTCTGTTTTCTCAACTCCTGAAGTCATTCCAGAAAGGCAAGGGGCACTGAGCTGCTGTTAAAGGTGACATAACAATCTGGAAGCGGGTAGTAGTAATGTTTGTAAAAAATGATGTCATAATTAATGTCGTGAATTGTAAATGCAAAAAAATGTTGAGATGGCAAATACTTTGCTATATTGCTATCAACCACAATAAAAAAAGAAAATGAAAACCAACCCAGTATCAACATTTGCTGTTGTTGTTAGGTACCATCAAATTGGCAACAACTCGGAACGACCCTACGCACAAGAGAACAAAACACTGCCCAGTCCCGTACCAACTTCACAACCTTTGCTATGCCTGAGCACACTGCTGCCACCACTGTGCCAATCCATCTCACTGGGGGGTCTTCCTCTTTTTCTCCAACCTTTCATTTTACCAAATATGATGTCCTTCTTCAGGGACTGGTCCCTTCTGATAACATGTCTGAAGTATGAGAGACGAAGTCTGGTCATCCTGGCTTCCAAGAAGCATTCTGGCTGTTCTTCTTCCAACACAGACTGGTTTGTTCTTTTGGCAGTCCGTGGTACTTTCAATATTCTCCTCCAACATCATAATTCAAATCCATCAATTCTTCTAGGGTCTTCCTTATTCACTGTCCAACTTTCACATGCATATGACGCTAGTGAAAATACCATGGTTTGGGTCAGGCGCACCTTAGTCCTCAAGCTGACATCTTTGCTCTTCAACACTTTAAAGAGGTCTTGTCCAGCAGATTTGCCTAATGCAATACATCATTTGATTTCATTTCCAGTTAGTGGTAAGATAAAAACTTTTCTCCTTTAAAATACAGAGGATTCTTTGTAAAAATAACAATTCCTGTTCTGAGATAGGAAATGTACTGGATGAATCTGGAAAACTGACCTCAACCAGGACACCATCAGATATACCTAACATCATGTCAAAAGTACTCAGAAGCCTACTTAAAGAGGTTCCCACTATCTAGAGATGGGATAACTTGAGCATATGTAAATATAATAAGTGCAAAAATTGAAACACACCAAATATGTAGAAATCTCTAGGTTAATGATTCTGAAAACTTAGGGGTAAGTGAGTTTATGTTAATGGGGGGACAAATCAGAAAAGAAGGGTGAGAATAGACAGACAATTAAAAGTTACACAATTAATGTCATATAAAAATGGTTGACCTGGTATAAGTTTTGCTGTGTATATTCTCAACAAAAGCAACAATAAAACAAAAAATAAAGAAAAAGAAAAAAAGAGAGCGAAAAGGAAAAATTCAAAGGACCAAATAAAAATCTAGTTAGTTATCAGTGGAATATGCTACAACAGCAACTCATTTTGAAAGCAAGCTAATAAACTTTTATCCTATAAGAATTTTATCTGTGGGACATCAAATAGTGGATGAGAATAAGTTATCTAAATAGGTATTCCAACTAATAAACAAAGAAGGAATGATAAAATTGAAACATTACTATTTAAAATGTGGCACTATAGGATAAGCACTAGACCACATGATCTGTGTCTATCTCATGGTCGGTGATTTGAACTCACCAGCGGCTCCTCGTAAACCCTATTCAGGTCTCTATAAGTTGGAACTGACTCGCAGGCACTTAACAACAACAACAACAAATTAATAAGCTCCTACCAACAGAATGTGGTTAAGACCTAATACAAGCACAGCAATGAACTCAAATATACCAACGATCATGAAGATGGCACAGGATTGGACATTTCATTCTGTTATACAAAAGACCACCATGAGCAGGAGCTAACTCAAGGGCAACTAACAATAATAATACTAAACAAATAATTGAGACTTCAAGCACAAATGCCTATTAACATCACAAGACACCAGATTTCGCAAGCCTCCTGATGGAAAAATACAATGCAGCCTATGAAGTACAAAAAAATAGAATCTGGATCTGCCCAAAACTCTAGATCCAACCACCAATTCAGAAATACAGAGGACAGCGAAACTTACTAAATAATATTATAAACGCAGTCAGAACAATCCAAAATGTAGGTTTCCTAGACTAGCTTCTTTAAAAAAATGTAAAAAAGAAAGGAAAGATGAATGGAAGAGGGAATCTAGAGATTAAGGGAGTCTTAAGAAAAAAGCACATTGTGTGGGCCTTATCTAGACTCTGAACAAACTGATACACATGATGGGGCTTCAAAAAGTTTATACAAAAAAAAAAAAAAAAAAGGAATTCTGTGTTTATGTTTCATAAATATGTAATATGGAGTCCTGGTGTGGCACTGTAGGATAAGCGCCAAGGATGGTTTGAACTGTAAGATCGGCAGTGCAAATCCACCAGCAATTCTTTGGACACCCTATACAGGGTTGCAATGAGTCAGAACCAACTCGACAACACTTAACAACAATATGTAATACACATATATATGACATATATGTATACATTAATGAAAGAAACATTAGTCCTGATGTGCTGTAAGATACACACTGGACAGCAAGGTCAGTTTGAACTGCAAGGCTGGTGGTTCAAATCCACCAGCCACTCCTCAGAAACCCTAAACAGGGTTACTATAGGTTGGAACCAACTCAATGGTACTAAGCAATGAGAGAAATGGAAACTGGAAAAACTGGATATTTAATAATACAAAAAATTATTATTTTCTCATGTGAGGGTATGAGTGAATATGCTGTGTTTACATTTCTTTTAAAATACTATCTTTTCTTTTAGAGTAAAACAGTGAAATATTTATAGGTGAAGTCTGTTTCATTGGTTTCAAAACAATATAAAGGTATGAGTAGGGGTATAAATAAAATAAGAGTTGATCATCACTGAAGCTGGACAATACATAGTGGAGGCTTCATTACATATTCTCTCAACTTTTACATATTTTTTAAAATTTTCACAATAGAAGTGTTTTTTAGAAACCTTTACAGAATCAAAGAAAGGCAATATGACTACAGGACAGAGTGGAAGAGTTACATCAGGTTTCCAAGACTGTAAATCTTTACAGAAGCAGAATGCCACATCCTTCTCCTGCAGAACGGATGGTAGGGTTGAAATGCTGAACTTTGAGTTCACAGTCAAGTGCTTAACCAGTGAATCACTAGGGCTCCAACGGAAAGTATTAATGACTGATAATGCTCAGAATTCTCAGGTAAAGAAATTCAATATAAAGCAGCATAAATAAAATGGCATTCATACGAAGTCAAACTATAAAACATTGCACTCAAATATCTTAAAAACAGCCAGGCTGACAAGACAGATTAACTACAAAGGGACAACAGTTACACTGACAGAAGACTTTTTAACAGCAACAATGGGAGCCAGGAAGTAGTAAGATAATATCCTTAAACTTCTCAGAGAAAGTATATTTTAACCTAAAATCGAACATTCAACTAAACTATATTACAAAAATAAGGACAAGGTATTTTCAGACTAAAAATCAAAACCAGAAAACACAACAAAAACCCTGTAAAGTTCAATCCACATAAAAATTAAAAAAAAAAAGACTTAGGAATGAGATCCAAGTTGCAAGAAAGAATGGTAAGCAAGGCAATTTGGTTGCTACTGTTGTCCTGTGCTGTCAAGATGGTTTCCAACTCATAGTGACCTTGTAGTACAAGGTTTTCGAGAGCAGCTGGTGGGTTTGAACTGCTGACCTTGCAGTTAGTTCGGTGCTTATCCTAAAGCACAACACCAAGTAAACATCAGTAAATTTTAAAAATAACACTAACTAAAGCAGTAGTACTATCAACTTGAAGGCTTAAAAAAGAAATAAAATAACAAACAACAACATGTTAGATGGGAGGTAGGTGTTTAAATATTCAATATGTTAACTTCTAATTTCAAATGTCTTCAACAAAATATCATCATAAGTACTCTATTTGTGGCTTACATTAAAATAGGAAATCAGATTTTCTGATGGTTGATCACATGCTGAATTTAAGATCATCATTAATTGTTGAATAGTATTCATAACAGTCCTAAGGAAAACAAACAGAAAGAGAAGTATTAAGCAGTGAAGGAAAAAATGAAATATGTTTATTCCACAAGTCAACCTGATCTTCGAACTCACTATCTCATATTTGTCTTTAAGAAGTTTGCTTAAATAATGCACTGCAAAATTCTCAGTTTGCTGTGATTTACAAAGAATTATATTTTATTTCAATCTTTAAGATATGTTCATAATCAGAAAGTTTAAGACTACAGAATTGGTACATTTATTTACTAATGAAACTACGGAGTCATAAAGTATTAATTAGGCATAAACTATTGAGATTCTACTTATGAGGAAATACATAAACTGGCATCAAAATATTCTTTCAAATCAAGGCAAGAAAATGTTTAGTAACTCAAGTTAAAGACTCAAATTATTCTCCTTTATTGTTGTTGTTAAGTGCCGTTGAGTCAGTTCTGACCCATAGCGACCCTGAACAGGGTTTCTGAGGCTGTACATCTTTACAGGAGCAGAAAGCCTCATCTTCCTCCCGCGGAGCAGAAGACATCATTCTAAAGGCCTAGATAATTTTAAAGGTCACCATTGTTAAGACATACAATTAAGATAATCTCTGAAGCTCTCATCAATTATGTAATTTTACTTGGTGTGAGTGTGTGCGGTATACAGTAAAGGGGAATGTGAAAATTTGGGATTAAAAATACATTTGAACAAAAAAATACATTTGAGGCAATGTTTAATGATGCCAAGAATTGCAGACATTTAACATTAACACAGCAGAAATGAAAAGAAAATCCACAAAATTATCTCAGTGCAGAAAATTACACGGAACAAAGAAACCAGCAGTACCACAGAAAAACATACCTATTGACAGTTACACTGAATGTAAATGGATTAAATTCACCAGTCAAGAAATGGAGCAGAATAGGTAAGAAAACAGGATCCTTCAATATGTGTCTACAAGAGACAGAGCTAAAAGATGCCAACAGCCTAAATTCCTATCAACAGAAAAACATTTAAACACGCTTTGGTACATATACACAATGGAATATTATGCAGTGTTGAAGAACAAAGATGAAATTGCAAACCACCTCATAACACAGATGAACCTAGAGAACACTAAGCTGAGTGAAATTAGTCAATCGCAAAAGGACAAATACTGTGTGAAATTAATGTTGTAAAAAAGTAAGAGAAAGTTTTCTTGATAAAATAAACAATCTGTGTGATGGATATGGGGGCGGTGGGGAGGGAGGAAGGAAAATTATTCATGGCTACAGGACAGACACATATTAACATAGATGACAAGGTAAGCAATATGAAACAAAAGGGAGGTGAGCAAAGAGAAGGTAAAGGTAAGTGGAGATACAGGGAGAAATGTAATAATTAAAGTGAATAGAAGTAGATATTGTTCAATGCTGTTGGTACAAGGAGGGTATTGCAATCATTGTAATAAAGCAAAGTGTATATGATTTGTCAAATGTATATGATTTGTCAAATGTAAAACTGATGGTATGCTCTGTAAACCTTCACTTAATTCACAATAAAAAATTTTAAAAGTAAAAAAGAATTGTAGATGTTTAAAACATGTTCAATGTCCTAAACCAAGCCTCTCTAAACTGCTATCTATACTTCCTCACCTTTTAGTTACATTGCCAGACTGCTTCTCTGTTTTCTGCGTCCATCATTGTACTCAAACCATAATTACTAAGACCAAAAATGATCAACTGCATAAAACAGAGACATTGTTCATTTGATCTCATGCTTGACTCTGCCTTGAAGCATTTGACACTCTTTAAAACTAGCTCTTTACTAAAACTCCATCCCTTGACTTACTTGGTACCAAATCTTTTCATTCTCCTTAATCCAACTTCCTTTATCTAGTCCATAAATGTTGCTATTCTTTCGGTTTCAGCCCTTAGCCATCCAGTCTTACCATTCATACAGCAATCATTCCAGGCAATCAGGGAGTCCCTGCGGGGCCCAAGTGATTAAGTTGTCACTTACTAACCAAAACGTTGATGGTCCAAACCTACCCAGTTGTGACTCAGATGGAAGACATGGTGATCTGCCTCCAAAAGGTCACAGCCTTGAAAACTATGGAGCACAGTTCTACACAACATATACGGGCTACCATGATTAAAAACTGACTTGATAGCAACTGCTTTGTTTTGTTTTTTTCTTTTAGGTTCAGACAATCTGATACATTTTTATGGTTTTTAACTCTTTCCATCCCCATGATTCCTAAACCTATGAGAGACTTTTATACACTATTGCTTGCTAGACATGTTCTTCACATCCTATCAATACCTGCAAGAAATTATATAAATTCATCAAATATTTATAAAACTGTTCTTGCTCGTTGATTTCCACTGCCAGTCTCTTCATCGAGAGCTCCATCATCTATCAACTTGATACATCAGTCCAGGGAAATTTTGTGTGACAAAATCTAAATATCACAAAAATGTTGCTATTTCAACCAGGTTTAAGTGTACAATTCAGTAAAGCCTGTGACAATAATCACATGCATCCCTTAAGAAATAAACTCTCTCCTTCCATCCTCTGATAACCACCTATGAGCTTTTTGTTTGATCTATTTCATGTTCTAGAGATTTTACAAGTAGAATTTTATAGTATTTACACTTTTAAGTTTCATTTATTTAACACAGAGTAGTTTTTTCCAAGGTTCATCCATATCAGAACTTCATTCCTCATCATAACTGAATAGTAATATTATTATGTATGTGTCATATTTTGCTTACCCAATTACCTGTGGTACACTTGGGTAGTAACTAACTTTAGCTATTATGGGAAATGCTGCAATAAACATGCAAATGTCTGATTAAGTCTTTCAATTTTAAGTTTTTCACTTGTGGAAAAATGGAATTGAAAGTCGATGGATTTCTTCTGTTTACTTTTTGAAGGCCCCTTACATGCGTACCAGTGAGATTGCTGAGTGAAATAGTAATCCAATGCCTAATTTTTTTAATTAGTCACTTTTCCACATTGACCGTACCATTTTACATCCCATCAGTAATGATTAAGGGTTCTAATTTCTCCACATTCTCACCAACACTTGCTAGGTTCCATTGTTCTGATACTAGTCATTCATTATAAGCTGAAACCCTCTGCCATCATGCTGATTCTGACACAAACTACGAGATTTGTGTTGTTGATGTTAAGTGTCGTTGAGTTGCTTCTAATTTATAGCGACCCAATATTGTGCCTGTAAAATCTAAAATCATCTGTTGCTATGGTTTTGACTTGCAATTCCTTAATAGCTAGTACCTGGAGTCCTGCTGTGGCGCTGTAAGTAGGTTTGAACTGAAAGTTGGTTTGAACTGCAAGGTCGGCAATTCAAACTCAGCAATCACTCCTTAGACACCCTATACAGGATTGCTATGAGTCAAACTGACTCGACAAACTGACTAGACAGCACTTAACCACCACCAACTACAATGACTCATATCTGCTGCAGCTCTGTAAGATCAACACAGGACTGCAGACCACAAAATCAGCAGTTCAAATTCCCCAGCTGTGCCCTGGAAACCCGGTACAAGGTTGCTATAAGTTGGAATGGATTCTGTGGCACTAAACAACAATAACAAAATTATGCAGATTTGGTGATGTGAGGTAAGTACTAGACAATTAACTACAACAACGTCTACAATTAAATCCACCAACTGCTCCGCAGAAGGACGATGCCTTGGAAATCATATACAGGCTTGCTATGAGTTGCATCCAACTGGATGGCACTTAACAACAACAACTAATAAAGGATGTCTGGTGAAAAAATGATTAAGCACTCAGTTACTTAATAAAAGGGTGACAGTTCAAACCCACCCAGCAGCTTAATGAAAGAAAGACTTGGTAATCAGCTTCCTTAAAGGTTATGCTGATACAATTCGAACTGAAAGCAACCCTGTGTACAACAGAATGAAACACTGCATAGTCTGGCACCATCCTCACAATTTTCCTATGTTTGAAACCATTGTTACAGCCGCTGCGTCAATCTATCTGTGGTACCATGAATTTACTTAAAATGACTTTTCTATCCAATATGTTCTTAATTACCACAAAGTGCCTGGATGAGACCATTCAAATAAAGTTTATAGAACTCTAAGGCTAGGATTCCACTAGTTGTTTGTCAATTTGTTACTATGGTGGCTTACATGTTGCTATTACTCTGAAAGTTGCGCCAAAGTCACTTTAAACACAAGCAGGGTCACCCACAGTGGACAGGCTTCAGCTGAGTTTCCAGACAAAGACAGAATAGGAAGAAGGAGAGATGGAATACTTTAGAATATTTAGTCACTGAAAATTTAATGAATGGCAGTGGAACACTGTCAGCACCATAACACTGAATACTGAGACATGGTGAAGATCACCACAATACTGTCATAGTATTGAAAGATTAGCCCCTTAGGTTGGAAGGCACTCAAAATATGACTGGGGAACAGCTGCCTCCTCAAAGTAGAGTTGACCATGATGATGAGAATGAAATAAAGTTTTAAGGACCTTCATTTGCTGATGGGGCACAATTCAAACTGAGGAGAAACAGCTATTGTTGTTGTTGTTAGGTGCCTTTGAGTATGTGCCAACCCATGCCAACCCTGTATAGGAACAGTTGGTAAGCTTGAACCGGCAACCTTGTGATTCAAACCGACGTTGCAGTCCAGCGCATTAGCCCACAGCAGGACACCAGGACTCCAGAAACAGCTATAAACATCCATTAATAATCAGAATATGGAATGTACAAAGTATGAATCTAGGAAAATTGGAATTGTCAGAAAAAAAATGAAAGTGAGCACATAAACATCGATATCCCAGGCATTGGTGAGCTGAAATGGATTGGTATTCACCATTTTGAATCTAACAATCACATGGTTGACAATGCTGGGAATGCCAAATTGAAGAGGAATGCGGTGGCATTCATCTTCGAAAGAACATTTCAATATCTATCTTGAAGCAAAACACCATCTGTGATAGGATAATCTCCATATGCCTATAAGGAAGACCAATTAATATAAC